ATTTTGAAAAAAACAAGTACCCAGTATTATTAACTTTCCATCCTTGTTAAATAAACAAATAAAGGCAATTTTGTGTATAAACATATTTCTTTTTTTCTTAAAGCAGCCAATTTGTCGTGGATGACAAAACAAAACAAAATAATCAGCATTTTAAAAAAAATATAATAATTTTCACATAACAGGTAGGGGAGGGGGACATTTTTCATCTGATGACATTTGCATAGCCTATCGTGGTAAGTTCTTACATGTTGATTTGTTTGTCGAAGTATAACTACATGTAATAATGATTTACATATAGTGCTTTGTAATTTCTTGGGTACGCTTTTGGATGAAGCCCCCTTAAGTTACAATTTTAGACTCCCCACTTTTTATTAAATCCTGGATCCAACCCTTTCAAGTAACAGGTTTCTGTCTCAATTCCTCACTGAATGTTATGTGCTGTTTGTAGATTCAGCAAACAGTAAAAGAATGTTGGAAAATGATGTGATACCACTTGTTTATCTTTGATATATTACTATTCCTTACTGACATTCCAGACCAAAATTACAAATTCTCCAAACCAACGTTACACAGCATGGAACTTCAACGTGTTGTTAGTGTCAACACAGACTACTTGCTCATTGAGTGTTCACAGACAACAAACCAAAAGCTGATTTCAAGCATTTATTTCACTTCTACATTTTGAGCAAGATAAAACCCATGTCATAAACATATTTCTGAAAAATAAAATATATTTCTAAAAATACAATGGGCCTTTATTGTGATTTGTTTTAATTCTGTTAGCCAACTGATAATGTAAGTAGTTATAATGAGATACTTGACAGCTTGGACAATGAATATCAAACAGTTCCTTTGTCATGTATAAAAAGTAACTGTGCTTCATAGAAAGTAGTGTAAATGTGATGTTATTGGAAATAACAACATAATATTCGTCTGATCAAGGTTTTAGCATAACAAATTCATTGACAAAGCCCATGCCAGGTAACAGAAGACAGAGTGACATGCCCTAAAAAAAGGGTGGTGTGACAACTCGATTAACATTGTCAATATCGTGTGTGACAGACAAGGCAGCAGCGGCACATTAAGACACCAGGTGATTGAAAACAGCCTGGATGATGTTGTTCCTAATGTCAGCCAAAGCTTGGCCCAACAGAGCTAGCGTTACCGGCCGGTTGTGGTCCTGTCGTAGGTGGCGTTCCATTGCATCCCAGACATGTTCTGTGGGGCAGAGGTCTGGATAAACAGCCAGCCATGGCAGTACAGCAATGTTATGCTGCCTCAAAATGTCTGTTACAACACGTGAAACATGTGGGTGGGAATTATCCTGCTGCAACTTGACTTCCATCCCTGCATTTGCTCAAGGGGTAGAACGTGATCTCAAAGGATGTCCTCCCGGTAGCGTATGCCATTTAAATTGCCATTAACAATAATAAATTGGGTTCTCCAATGAGTTGTCATTCCACCCAATACGATTTCACTTCCACTCCCAAACAGACAAAGTTGAGTAATGGAAGTGTCGCTAAAACGTTCTCCTGGACGCCTGTAGACCTATGCACGACAATCAGAACTGCCCATATGAAACCTGGTCTCATCTGTGAACAGTATGCTGTGTCAGTCTTGTCTTCTAAACCTCAGATGCTGTCTACACCAAGCTGGGCATGCCTGATTGTGGTGTGGAAGCAAATTGGGCGTATCGCTGGACATCGGGTCCGGATGTAGTGTTCCCTCCACCGGGTGCATATGGTTCTCACACTAATTGGTCTGAAACCAGGAATTGTCCAAGCTGTTAATGTGGCAGTTAGGTATCAATTCCATAGATGCACCAACCGAATATGGTTGTCTTGTTGACGTTATGTCACAAGTGGACGACTGGCCCATGGCAAGTCATGAGTGTTGCCCTGCTGTAGATAACGCCGCCAAAGAGATGATACTGTGTTTCGATGAACAACTTTGTTTTGCACCATTCCTGTTTGCAGCATAGCCATGGCACGGAAATTTTGATTTCAGCAAACTGTGGCATTGCATAAGCATTATTTACAGTTAAACAAAAGTGTTTATATGAGCACCTGATAGATAAACAATTATTGAGTGAGGTTCACAATCGAAAATCATTTGTGTGAGTATCATGTTCCCAACAGAAACCCAAACATCCAAGTTTTGCGCTGTGCATAAACATGAACCTTAAGGTCACTCCCTTAAGGTCGAGGAGATGTCTTTGAAAGTCGAATTATGTTTTTCAGAAAAAACTTATTTTGATTGAACATAATATGAAGCACAGATATATTTTTCCATTAGAATAATTTTAAACAATCATTAAATCATTATTTCTGTAAAGCTTATAAACTTGTAACAACACAACAAACATGACAGCCATTTCTTTTAAAATAAACATATGTCAATCTGTGAATTGAACACTGACCTTGACCTTAGTTTTAGAGAAGGTAAATCCAAGTAAAAGCAAATGATACATGCATTAATACTTTTTGAGAAAGTGTGTGTGACTTTGACCTTTAACATTTCCACGATATATGCAAAAAGAATAATACAAGGGGAAATTTGAAATTTACGACAACTATAATGTGCATACAATTTGGTCAGGGTATTCAGCAAAATATGGTACATTCCTAAGAGCTGTTTCATGTAAAACTTTCTGGATTAGTACTTGGTGCTTATAGGGATTGGTCCAAAAGTTGATCATTTAGTGCTTATTGGGGCAGGGTGCTTCATGTGGCAAATATGGTACATGTATTAAATAATAATGTGTTCATGTCATATTGTGTGTAGATTCAATGAATGTATGAATAGTTAACATAAAATGTCCCATTACAAACATTTTCTATATACAATGTAATTGATTATGGATAGGGACAATAGATCATTGGATAAGTACAGGAAAACAATTATTCTACCTTAAATTTGGAAAATCCTCAGTTCTGACTAGTCAATCAAAATGTCAAATCACAACAACCTCCTCTGACAGATTTGATGCTCACAGAAGCCATTATCAATAGAAAAGTACTTCTCTCTCAATCACTGTTGCTAGGCATTTTGAACTAATGTTATGTCCAATAATAGCTCGCAGGCTGTTGAGGCTACTACAGTATTCAAGTATACACAACAATACATTTTTCGCTGTATGTTTTAAATTCAATTTAACATGGTTAAATCTACAGGTAACCTAGCACTACATTGAGAACACAGTATGTTTATCTTCTATATCACTGAATACAATAAATCATCAATCAGTGAACTACATGTTATCACTACTTGGGAGCATGTGCTGTCACTTTCCCTGTAAACTGGAAGCTGCACAGTAACTACAAGAACACCTCAGTACACCACGACATGAAAACAGTGGATAAAACGTAGAGGTAATCAATTCATCAGGGTTTTCTCCATGTGGTCAGACAACAACGACCTGAGCCAATTCACAATGTCTTCATGTTACCTAAGGCAAAGGAGTGAACCAACTGTAAAAGTCCAGTTTCCACCCCTGCTGTACTAGGCTGGAATTATGGAGTTATATTTTGACTGGACTTACGAGACTAATCAAATAGCGTATCGAATTCGACATTCGGGTTCGTAAACAACATGGATTTCAACAAGCAGATTTTTGGTCAACTGCAGGATTTGTAAAGGATGTGTCAGCAAATATTTTCCAAATCTTTTCATGTATTCAATTAATGTGCTCATGTTTTAGATGCACTTTGCAAGGTAAGCATGGTAAGACTCGTTTTATTACAACATATATCTTGCTCATCTATCGGATCGTCTTGACTGGGTGCCACCATTTTCTTTGAAGCAAATGCAAGTGACATGAGAGGTTGAAACTGATTGGTCAATAGGAGAGGCATAGAAGGGACGTAATTTGTACTAGCCACTGGTGGCGCTACGATCAAGTCCAGAAATTCCAGCCTAGTTCAGCAAGGGTGGAAACTGGACTTTTACAGTCAGTTAACTACCTTGCCTCGGACAGATGCAATGTATGTAAGTCTTCAAATGTCACCCTTTCAAGCACTACCAACAGCTTGTACCCATTGTGTCCAACTGATCCTCACTCTTTCCTACTCAATCCATACTGGCCAGATGTCTGGAGGAGTTACTCCACTCCTACACAGAATGCATCTGTGTCAGTGAGTTAGTGAGTGAGCTTGGTTTAACATTGCTTACGTTCCTGGTCCCAACAGTTGCTTGGTAACAGTTGGTGGCCCTGCATCACTTCAACAACATCACGTCTGATACTTCCAGCTTACAAAACTTGTGCAACTGCCATTGCCATTTTCCCATGACATTATATAATTTGTAACACCATTAAATTTCAACCTTGCAACAAGTTGCTGAGAAGCTTTTCCAACAAGCATATTGTTTTCTACAAATAAATGCACAACACAAATTTTAAACACATGGGTGACATCCACATTGGCATCCATTTTTGTTTTTTTCACTGACAAATAACCAACATACAGAACTTTATTTTCAGTCTAAACCACTCTCACTAATTCCATTCCGACATGTTTTTGCATGCTTGGTCATGCTAAATCTGTATGAAAAGCCTTTAAAACATGTTGGACATTTGAAAGGACGGACAGAATTGTGTGTGTTGATGTGCCCTTCTAAATGAGAAGACTGTTGAAAACGTTTGTCACAAATAGGACATATGTATCTATAATCACCAGCATGAGAGTTACAGTGAAGTTTATAGCCATGGGAAGATTTCAGCTGCTTTCCACACCAATCACAAACATATGTATTGTGATGAAGTTTTAGCGCATGAGTCTTTAGATCGCAGATGCTGGTGAATGTCTGGAAGCACTGTTCACAACTGTAGACTATTCCACCAGGCTGGGTTTGAGAACACTGCCAGGCTTCAACACCTGCCTGGTACCCATCAATATGACAGGCTCGGTTATCATGCAGCATGCCCTGTTCAGGTGTCGGGTGGAGGTTTTTATCAGAGATAATTGTGTGTGCGTGTTTAATGTGAGTAGAAGGAAAATTACCTGGATCTTGTGCTCCAATAACACTGGATCTGAAACACAATCAAAGTTCTCATTAAATTAAGACTGTACACAACTCAGCTGGTGGTAATGACTTATTTTGCAGACACATACACCTGAACCATGTGAAAGTGGAATACTGATTATCATGTAATGGATGGTGTTATGAACCAATCCAATAAACTTGGTATCAAGATACAATAAATATGCAAATTAAAACCAATACAAAGTGTAAAAAGTTTCTTTCATCCTCAAAAACAAGGTGTATTCATTGAATGACTCGCTTTACTTGAACCTCTGGAATAACACTACAGGTAACCTTTGATCACTAAACATGAACTGACTTGTTCTACACAATCAATTGGAATCTGGCAAAAAACACAAGAACCAATCAGAGCTATCCTCCTCTGAAGCATTGAACAAATAGGTATAACAAACTTGGTCAATAAAAATATGAAATTTTATATAAAACATCACTAGACACAATGATTTACCATTAAAATTGAATTTCCTACTCTCATAGGCAGAGATTAAGATGACCATGTGTGTTTTCTTGTAAACTGACCAAGAACTGAAACTTGACACAATTTTTAATATTTGTTTGTCAATTCAGCTTGCAAATATCCCTCACATCACAAAAAATCACATGTTCTGTCTCAAACTAGGGAGTCAGGGGTGATTTCTTTCATTCTAATTCACAAAGCATCAGCATAATTTCTTTGGACAAATAAAAGCCTTCACTTCTCTTAAAATGGCTGAATGAAAGAGTTACTTCCATTCCTGATCAGATTTGAAGCTCCCTGTGAAAAGTTTTCAGACCCACATCATTCTAAGTTTAGCAACTGAATGTTACTTCTAGTGTCATCTCAGGGCTAGTTGTGAAGTGAGTAGCCATTCTTGGTTTCAGGGACAGGTGACAACCCCATGTTCCCCAACTTACTGTACAGCTCCTCCTGGATGTGCCACTTGGAAAGTCAGGTCCAGGCTCTCCTCTTCCGCATCTGACGGAACAAGCTCTACTTCATAGTCCTCCAAGTTCTGAATCTCTTCCACGGACAAATCTGGTTTCTTATCTTTATGATGTGTTGAATTGCTTGTTTCCTTGCTGGATGAAGAGAAATAACTCTTATCCTCACCTCTGGTGTTGCTTGAGCTAGGGGCTGGATGAGGATGTTGGATGACTGGTAGGGCTGCAACGATACAGGAAGGTCACGATATGATATGTATCTCATTAGTCTGGTCATGATCTGATACGTATCTCAATATGCAACAATAAAAAAAAACAGATAACAGTACTCCAGTACTCCAGCATTTATTAAGTTTCAAGACTTCAAGCATGTCAGGATTGGACCTTTCATGATTTTCGAACAATCAAAATTCTTTTATAATGAACAAGACTTCTGAAGTTGTTTCCTTCAAAACACTTCAAATTTCAAAACAGCAGAAAACTTCAAAGTTCAAACACGAGAAAATTATTGATGTACTTCATGGTCTGATAATTAAAATGTGAACATTGTTGGGGGATAGTGATGTCCTCTGGGTACTGACAGTGTCTCCTGCTGTTGAGTGTTACCGGGGGATGGAGTCATGGGCTACATGCTCTGCCTACCTAACAGGATCTATGATGAGCATTTCAGTGTTTGAAAAAAGATTAGAATAGTAGTAGTAGTTGTTTAAATATTTATGAAGTGTTACGTGCTTTAAAAACCCCACATCGTAACCCTTCAGCGAATTCAGATGAATAAACAAGTACAACAAACTTGGTCAATAAAAATATGAAATTTGATATAAAACATCACTAGACACAATGATTTACCATAAAAATTGAATTTCCTGCACTCACAAGCATTGTTTTATATGCAGAGATTTAGGATTACCATGTGTATTTTCTCGTAAAATAAGATGGAAAAAGCAATCAGCTGTAAACGCATTTTCTACCAATCTACTGATGATTCAATTAAAAAGTACCAATGATACAACTTCAAAAATATTTGATGCAGTGGTTGGAAGAAATTGTATCTGAAATTATTGTTTCTGCAGGATTAACATATTCCAATATTGTGTTACTTAAGTTGGAGCTTTTACTATATATATTTAATATTATAAGAACCATAAGCGCAGCACTTTGGTACAGGTGTTTGCTATTGCAGGATATTTTTACCTATGGAACAATTTGTCCTGTCACCGGGAACTTCCTGCACTATTTGTATTTCAATTTCGAAAATGTTATGTTGACATATAATAGTAAAATTGCCACAAATATGACTTTAAACACGTCAAAGTATGGCATTTATAAAATATGTATGCATTCTCTGGCAACTAAAGTTTGTTTCAAGACGTCAGTAGCAGTAATCTGACTGATCAATTTACACACGATTTCCCCTAAATTAATGTAAACAATATTGAATGAAATTATGAATAAGATCAATAAAATATATTACAAACATAAGTCCAGATATACAATGAACACATTTTCATAACCAGATAGTATACTAATGGGATTTAATTGCATACTTCAGATCGGATTTACCGGTGTTACCTGCTCATGGTGATCAGCTGATAATGTTTTTTGAGATGGGGAAAAACATGATGTCACAGTAAAACGTGAGCTTATTAATAATGTAAGTAAGTTTTGGGAGACATAAGTCTGCGCACGCTATAACTGAGTTAACGCTATGCTATATTGAAGGGTGCAATGGCGAAGGAACACTGTTCTTAGGGTTGCATTACGTATGGCGGGACTAGGAACAAATGCAGGGTGGACTGAAACTGAACAATTATTTGAACATTAGCTTTACTGACGGCTGTGCAACAATAGCCACAGGTTCAGAAGCTCACCTTGGTTTGATTATTTAGCATTAAACTAACGACGGACTATGCTCAACTGTTCCATGCCGTTTCCGGTTGAGATGTTGACACTGAAATTAGTGTCTTGTGTGTAGACATTGTGTCTACCGGCATGTAAATGATGGCGTAGAATGACATATAGTCCTACTCCAACTTGCAATATGCTACCATTTTAAGTGGGACCCTCTGATTGACTGATTACCAAGTCATAGTTACAGAGGTGTGTCCCTTTACTAATATATCATCAGAAAGGTTTTAATTGAGAAAGCATAAACAAAGAAGTGTTTCAAAGATTTAAATCAAAGTTACTTGGGCTGCCAATGTGCACAAGCGCAGTTCACAAGTGACGAGCCCCTGAAGTATCGTGTCTGAATAGTGACTGATTTGTACACACATCCAAACTTAGAGCTGCTAACTGGATAACACAAGGATCCTTCAGATGTGACGGTATGATATTGATGTGCGGATACGATGAGAGGATGCGTGGATATGATACTGATGAGCTGGGGGGACATGATATTGATGTGTGGATACGATGAGAGGATGCGTGGATATGATACTGATGAGCTGGGGGGACATGATATTGATGTGTGGATACGATGAGAGGATGCATGGATATGATACTGATGAGCTGGGGGGACATGATATTGATGTGTGGATACGATGAGAGGATGCGTGGATAGGATACTGACGAGCTGGAGGGACATGATATTGATGTGCCTTTAAGATTTTCGGAATAAAATTAAACTAGTTTTGATGGTTGGAAGGTTTGTTGTTTAATGCCGCACTCAGCAACATTCCAGGTATATGACAGTGGTCTGTAAATAATCGAGTCTGAACCAGACAGTCCAGTGATTAGTATCATGAGCAACAATCCGCAATTGGGATCGATGACATGCATCGACCAAGTCAGCAAGCCTGACCACCCGATCCTATTTGTCGCCTCTTACTACAAGCATAGTTGCCTTTTACGGCAAGCATGGGGTGCTGAAGACCAATTCTACCCTGGATCTAGTTCTGATGGAAGGACTGCATGACACACAGGATATGAGGTCAACTTACACCATCCTGGTGAGAGAAGACTGGCAATGTTTCTACCTGTCTGTGCTGTGTAGGAGAGCGGCCACCTTTGTGATTTAGTAACAAAGTAAAGTAAATAGTAATCAGGCCTCAAAGTTTAAGTTTTTCCCAAGTAGCCATATGGCTACAAGTATTTATTTCCAGGTAGCCAGTGGTGAAATCAAGAAGTCAAGTCAACATGGTCAATATTGTAGCCGATATTGTAGGTCGCCAAAAGCATTTGAAATTATCTTTTATCAAATAATTATCATAATATGTACAAGTCATAGCACTAGTCTTGGAATTGTATATTAGTGGAAACTTTACTTGAGTTCTGTTATTTTGCTTATCCAATAAATTATCAACTAAAACAAGAGTTTGCCACTAACGTGGCTTTATCCCCCGCCCCTGTTGCAGAATTTATGACATAATTAAATCTAAACAAACCCTAACCTTTTTTAACCGAGGTGGAACTTGTTGTCATGAAAATTGTAAAAAAAAGAAGAGTTTGCCACTAACTTGGCCAAGTCTCCAGCCCAGCAAATGAAGTGTATATTATGTCAACAATAGTGAAATTTGATCACACAAACACATACATTTGAAAATATTCAAAATTTTGTAAGGTGTAAAAGGCAGCAGGGGAGCATCTACTTGATGTAAATGCAAAATATCCTGAAGAAACAAAATAAAAAGCTGCAAAAACTATGAAGTTCAAGAAAAAAAATGAAACCTTCTCCACAAAAAACATGATGTAAGTACAAACTGACAAAACCAGTTACTACATTTACTGCTGAATTCATGAGGGTGGGAGAAAGAAAAAACATTACAAGTCATGTTACCGGCACTCACTGCGAGGAAGTAGGCTGTCACGAGTGCCACACACACAATTTTTTGGCATTTAAAAGAAGAATTCATTTATTTGTTGCCATGGAAACGTAAAAAATAAAAATTTCTAAAATTTCTAAATAGCAAAAGGCACCAGTTCAGCATGTACCTGACAGACATGCAAAGTTTCACGAAAAAATATTTAACGGTTTGAGTTATGCTCCGGAAACGAAACGTGATGGACGGACGGACAGACGGACGGAGACCGTTTCTATATTCCCCGCCAACTTCGTTGGGCGGGGGATAATAAATTACTAATTACATTAATATGTGTGACAAACTGATCATGTTCATTATGAAAATAGTAACGTGTGACGAATTGATCATGTTAATTATGTAAATATATGTAGTAACGTGTGATGAATTGATCATGTTAATTATGTTAATAGTAACGTGTGTTGAATTGATCATGTTAATTATTTAATACATGTAGCAGTGTGTGACTAATTGATCATGTTAATTATGTAAATAGTAACGTGTGACGAATTGATCATGTTAATCATTTAAATACATGTAGTTACGTGTGACAAATTGATCATGTTAATTATGTAAATAGTAACGTGTGACAAATTGATCACGTTAATTATTTAAATACAAGTAGTAACATGTGACGAATTGATCATGTTAATTATGTAAATATATGTAGTAACGTGTGATAAATTGATCATGTTAATTATGTAAATAGTAACATGTGATAAATTGATCATGTTAATCATGTAAATAGTAACGTGTGACGAATTGATCATATTAATTATGTAAATAGTAACGTGTGATGAATTGATCACGTTAATTATGTAAATAGTAACGTGACAAATTGATCATGTTAATTATGTAAACAGTAACGTGTGACGAATTGATCATGTTAATTATGTAAATAGTAACGTGTGACGAATTGATCATGTTAATTATGTAAATAGTAACGTGTGTTGAATTGATCATGATAATTATGTAAATAGTAATGCGTGTTGACTATGTATTAACGTATGTAAAACCTTCCATCATTGTAAAGGATAAGAAAACACCATTTCATTTACTAAGTCCATGTTTATTATCACTTGTATGGGCAGTATCAAGAGTTCACATACACATTCTACACATACTACAAGTATTTTGGTAGTGCAGGCTTTTTCACAAACACTGCTACATCTGGCTTCAAATAATACTCCTCCATAGCACTAGAATCAACTAAAGACTATTTCATAACTGGGAGCAGTTTTAATGCAATGTTTTGACACCTTAGTATGAAATGCAAAACCATTTTTGTAATGCCTTTCACAAACAGTGATAGAAGATAACAAAGACATTGTGCATCTTGTTGGTCAGGGCCAACACAGAATGGAAAGTTGAAAGCAAATGTATTCACACGTCCCTTCAATATTTCCTGTGGTGTACCTCTACTCTACATACATTAGGATAAGTACACTGTCAGGCATTTACCTGGATTATCTGTTTGGGGGTCCAGGGGACCCACAACCTTTGGAGCTCCATGTTAAAATATGGGGGTCCCAGAGAAGTGTCAATCATTGAATATAACAATATTAATTCAAATAAAGAAGCTTAGTGTCACACATGTTTTTATCTTACCAGTACTTAATATGCAATATCACGTATTATTTTAACTCATGTTTGTTTGCTCTTGAAAACATACTCAAACTTTCCCCACCAAAATACATTCAGAAATCTTGTTGTATTGACATGTTTTGAAGCAAACAGTTCACCCCACAGTACTCCACCACAAGTGACATAAAATTGCTCAATACAATGAGGTGAGTTGTTTTGTAGTGAGACAGCAATATACGACCATCTTCCCAAGGCAAGGGAGTTAACTGACTAGGAAAGTCCAAACTAGGCTGGAACGTCTGAGTTATATGTTAGCTGGCATGACGAGTCTTTGCATAGTCCAATATAAAATGATGTAACGATATCCACATGAGGTAAACAACATGGCGACAGCGTGCAGATTTTGGCCAAATGCATAGGTGCGAGTATAAGATTGCATACAAAACTGGCACACATCACACGATAGGGATTTCCTATTACACCTCTTTGTTGAAAAGAAAATGTCTTTTCCATCCTGCAAAGACTTGACTGATTGGCACCAGGTGTCTGTCTGGCAGGGAATGGGAAACTTCTTTCGATTAACTTGATCAGATCATGTAATAGAGCAATACCATTTTGTTTGAAGCAAATGCAAGTGACGTGAAAGGTTGAATCTGGTTGGCCAATAGGACAGACATAGAAGGGACATAACTCGTAATAGTCACTGGTGGCACAACAATCGAACCACGAAATTCCAGCCTAGTTTGGCAAGGGTGGAAACTGCACTTTTATAATCCCTTGCCTTGGGAAGATGACATAGGACGCGTAATTCAGAGGTAGAACATTTTGTATTTTCTGATTACAATTCAGCCCTAATTTCCACTTAGTTATATTCTACCTTTTATCCTGCTTATACCATACAGATATTCTTACTGATGTGAAGTTATTCAAATTGAAAAATATTCTGGATGGACAACCAACAGGAATTGTTGGTTCAAATTAATATAAGTTGTAGCAGTATCACGAGGAGTACATGATGTTTCACGTGTTAGGTTTCATCCGACTCGTGGTATAAAACCTAACAAGGGACGCATAAAACCACATGTACTCCTAGTGATACTGCTACAACAAATTTATCTTCCTGACATGTTATAATTTGCCATTGCAAGAGTATTAAAACATAATTCAAAATTGATAGAAAACAGCTGTTCGATTGAGCTGAGGTTAATTTGTGCTATGTCATGACACGTCATTGACTCGGAAAAAGTGTGCGGCCTTTTGCTATGAAGGGGGTATAAGTGATTTATCTCCTGCTCAGAAATCCACGTGCAGTCTGTTTTCTTCATGGTGAGGTATAACTATAAGGGATTTATTTTCACAATCAGAAATTTATTTCCCTCCCAGGTGGGATACATAGTATTTTATCAAGATCACATGAACCAATCAGACCTGATCATTCTAATATGAAGATATAATAATATTATCTAAGCCCATTCCTTGTTGACACACACACAACATATTCAAGCACTATGGAGTCAATTTGTTTCTTCTGTTGTGAACATTCTCTACATGATCTTCAAGATGGCGTTTCCGGACACAAACATGGCCGCAAATCATACACACAAACTTTGGGGCAGTCTTCTCGTGCTTGAGGCGCTGATGTTCTGTCACTCCGCTCTTCGTCAAGAACACCTTGTCACAGAATCTGCACATGTGCATGTTCATCCGGCCATGCTCCATCTCAATGTGGCCCCGCAGATCCATGTGGGTGGCCATGTAGACCCCACACTCTTTACACGATGGGTGGTTGTTCATATGCATCATGAAGCCCATGTCGGACCAGGCCGAGTTGCCACACAGCTGACAAGTCATCTTCTTACCACCAGCAGTCTTTGTAACAAGTGGAGCTGGGCGCATATTACTGACAACACTGGCTATGCTAGGCTTGGCTCCATGCTCTGAAGACACATCCACAGTTGTTGCAAATTGATGCACTTCTGTTCCCGAGTCTGCCAGGTCGGAAGAGGTTTCAGTGTAGAACATGGAGTCTAAGGCATCATCGTCGTCGTCAGGAGCCCAGCCTGAGCCTGCAGATGAAAGCAAGACATCCTCTTCAACAGATGTATCTTGAGCATTGTGGCCAGGAGCACCTACATCCATATCCATATACAGCAGCAACCTACACTACCTGGTGCCAGTAACACCGAGAGGAGCATGTCAAATTTGAACTGAAGTACACAAAGTAGTCCTGTAATTACCTTATCTGGTGTTCACTGAATATCTGGCTTTATGTTATAAATCTATTTATTAATTTCAGCGACATAGCCTGAAGAATGATCATTCTGATTGGCAGATCACACATACTCAGTGTTATTATTAGCAACCATGATTAGATTACCACTATTGATGCCTGGCTTGCTGTGGCTCCACAAACATATTTGTATCTTATCATGCAGACATCTTCAAACACAAGTAGTAAAGGTCCCTCTGAGAAACAATTACATACAAGTAAGTAAGTATTATAATCATCAACATGATCACCATCATCTGACCTTTGTGAAATTACAATGATGCCATTGATGTCCCGAGTGTGATTCACAATATATGAACCAATGATCACAAGCATCAGGAAGTTTCCTGGAACTCCTGTTGTCTTGAGAAATACAGCTTTATGATCAACATGACCAAGCCTCTAAAGACATCAACATAGCTCTTGTAATGTGCACTATGTATCAGATGGAGACACTAGAATCAATTTCCCAAAGGAAAATCTTTTCCCACAACTCAAATAACTTTATAAACATATTTAGCTCTGGCTTATGTAAGGATGAATAAACCAATTGGTCATCAACAGTGTTCCTTACAAAGGATTAAAGTCAAAGTGTTCCTTGCGAAGGATTAAAGTCAAAGTGTTTCTTACAAAGGATTAAAGTCAAAGTGTTCCTTACAAAGGATTAAAGTCAAAGTGCTCTTTACAAAGGATTAAAGTCAAAGTGTTCCTTACAAAGGATTAAAGTCAGAGGACTACAGGACTCGTGCCAATTTCTAATGCTGCAACCATTTTGGAAACATTATTGCAGAAGCATTACCTATTTACAGATTTAGAAGGATTGCTCCCCTGACCTACTTGTGGTGAGTACTGGCTTGTAAAAACGTAAATGTATAGCAATAAGAAAACACTTTCATGTGAGCGGGTTTACTGTTGCAGAGATAGTGTATAGCCATATCATTAATCTGAGCATTGCATAGCATTCAACATTCAAATATTACTAAGAGAACATAAAAACAGGATGACGATGACTGATGAAATAACTACATACCTCCTCCTGTTAGTGATGAAGGTAGACGGAACGTCTCGCTCCGGCGCTTGACAGGAGGCTGATCACCGTGCTCCTCCCGCTCCTCGTCACAGGGCTCTTGCTTCACAACTATCACATCCGCATCATCAGCGCTGTCTGACAGGGGGGAAGGTTCACACCGTCTTTTAAGCACAGAACTGTCAGGCACTGTTGCTGGTCTACATACTTTTGGAGTCAACTGTCTTGACTTCGTCCGATTTTGGGAATCCCCTGGGCCAGACTCACGTCCTTGAATTCCTGTCACACTGGGGTTAACAAAACTACTATTACTGTTTGAACTGGCATTATGACCTTGAAAGACACTATAAGATTGGTCAATGGCTGTCTTTGTTTGTGACCTTGGTGAAACAGCCATGTTCAAAGATAATGTGTGGGAGGTTTCACTTTTCCTCTGATGACCAGTCCTCATCCTTTGTGATGAATACGAATGTCCTGGCACATTCACTTCCCCCGAACTTGTTGCTGCACTGGGGACTCGAGCGTTTGTGATGTCCCGGAATCCACTCCTCTGCACAGTGCCTGTGGGAGTGGTTTTGAAGACTTTAGTACAGTAGCTCTCGCTGATGGAGTTGCCTCCCATTTGGACTATCTCACTGAGAACATACCTCTCCTTCTTCATGTTGTCGATGTCCACACAGACATAGCCGCTCACCTCCACATTCTGATTGAACTCAAGAAAGTTGTGACATAGATTCTGAATGTTTTCCACAAAGTTCATAAAGAACTCAACTGAATACTGTTTCTCCATCTTGAAAATTGTTCAGCAGAGGAAGCACTTATTGTCACTGCAATTAGAAATCAAATTTTATTTCTGCATCTTTACCTCGCATATTTATAATATGGGTAAGAATGCATTCTATAAACACTTTCAATATTGTACATACACAGCGTTCCCGTTTACCGGTATTTACAAAGTTTTTTTACCGGTAAAGTTAGGCTTGGGACAGTAAATCATGTGGCTGCCAGTCCCTGTGGAACGGCAAATATAGTACCAGTACCTTATACATAATTGTTGTTAACCAAAACATTGGTGATAATCAATAAACTATATTTTTCGAACAAAGTCAGCTTGTCTGGGTTTGCCGTTGTTCCTGTTGGTGCATTTTCTTCTATTTCTTTTGATTATATAATGTATAGTTTATAGACTTTCTGGTGACGTTGTTTTGCGGGAATAAAGGCTATAACTATTATTTTAGTTTTGTGGTGTGTTGATAACGTAGGTTTCAGTAAACATCAGGGTTTCCCGTTGTTCAAGGAAATAACCTTTCGCTGTGTCTCAAGGATAAAAATCTCTTTGTAGTGACTCAATCACATTAAAATCAGATCTTAGTTCTCGCTGCCGCTAAGCAAAGATCTGAGGACACCTCATTACGGGTCACGTCAGAACGACCTTTCGCGAACTTTGACCAACCACTGAAATGACGAACAAGAAGTTGACATCATCCAATTAGAAAGCAGCTTTCACGAGTTTTACAGCACTCGTTTCAAGCTGGCGACTTCCATTTTAGACATCGCTTGAAAAATAAGTGGACACAGTTCTCGATTAACATTTGGAAAACTGAAATAACGAACATTCCGGAATGTCTAATATGATTGAGATTGTATGGCAGTAGTTCCCGCGTACTGTTCAACGCCTCCTCTGTTCAAATGTTTATCCCACGGAAGCGAGAGATAGACGATAATTGTGACGGAATCAGCTGTACGGGCTGTAACTGTCGTTTGGAACACCCTGTGTTAACGTTTTCTGGTAAGCTACGCTTTGATTGGTCGGATGAAAGGTCATTCCGACGTGACAAGAAATGAGATGTCTTCAGATCTTCGTTTAGCGATAGCGAGAACTAAGATCTGATTTTAATGAGATTGGTAGTGACTTAGTCTTGAACCAAAGTGACATATTTAAGAAAAACAGAGAAAATATAATTGAACTTTGTGTGAATGATGTGTACATCTAAGTTACTTCAGAGATGACACCATTGAATGTGTCTGCCATGAACACACACCACATTGAACATGATGTTGAAAGAATCAAAACAAGGCAGTTTTCATACTTTTATATATTTGTTCAAAGTTGAGACTTTTAGAGTTGCCAGTCCACTGGGACCGGCAATGTCAAAAGCCATGGGAAACACCGATAGATTTGTGCAATTGTTTTTCTAATTATTCCTCAGGAATTGTCTCAGACACTATTTTCATCTACCCTGCCTTTATTGCATGGGTTTGGAGGGCAAGCTTGTCTCACACATACCATATCTCCTCTATTAGCCTTGGTGTCTATTAGATTTGCGCAAGCGTATTACTAGAATCCAAAGTTCTAGTAATACGGTCATTATTAATTACCCGGCATCAAATAGAGACCTGGCTTCTAATGTTTTGGACAGAGCATACAAACCGACGTCATTGGAGGCCTGGTGTCTAATAGAGGAAATACAGTATTTTGCTTGTGGTTAGTCATATCAAAGCATATTAGCTCAATTTTGGAGGAAAGCAAAAAGTGACAAAGGTCATAGACTTTTATCATGATAAAATCCACAAGCACATTAATGCAGCGTTAGAAATTGGCACTAGTCCTGTAGTCCTTACCAAACTGGCCAATAGTAAAGGTATCCTAAGGAATAGTAGAAATTGGCCCATTTTATGGGTTTTGCTATATGTTATCATTATATGGACTAGTGGACAAAAACTGTTAGTTTCTAACCCTGTTAATGGTTATTACAGATGGATGATGATGATGATGATGATGATGATGATGATGATGATTAGAGTAATCTGGTATTCAAATCTAAGACCATAAGATCCTGCAATAACTAAGGGACACAACTCCTGCTTCAAGTGTGATTTGACAGTTGAATTATATGTATCCAGAATGAAGTATCTCAAGGATTCTCAACCTATGCATGTACAGAAATGAAGAAGTTGGTCTTCATTCAGGATTCATCAACGGATGTTGTCTCAGATTTGATGTTTGTTTGGCTTGACAACGGAACGGTCTAAATATTTTTGATGATATCTTTGTAATATTGTAATGTTACTTAACAGTGCAGCTGTCAAGCCAGAAACACATTTTAAAGTAGCAATATTAGTAACACTGCTAGTGTATCGAACATAGTCATATGAGTATTAGGAAAACACTATAGATCAGCCCGTAACTCTGTGTAGCGACAATTCAAAATACAAATCGATTACAGTTACCACATCTACCTAGATTCATATGGATCAATTTAAATGATAAAATAAAAAAATATCAAGGAAGTGATAAAACATAAAAGCAAACATGATTTTATTGATTTAGGGAAATAATTATAAGTTGCTAACTGAATAGACTGTTGATGCATTTACCACAGAGTATCTCTACCTGAAGTAATATTGTTCCCTTGAACTATATTTCTCAAGGGGAATTACTTTGTGTGAGTGTGTCTCCCTCTTACTGCCATTATTTTGAATTTCCTGCATGTAATAAACGTCAGATAGTGAGTAAAAATGAACATCTTTTAGAATATATATATCATATCTGGTCTTTGCTAATAAATTATGATACAACAAAATTTAGAACAAAAATAAACACTCATTGTCTATATTTTACTGTACACAATTGTACCTGATCAAAATATCCGGATAATCCCCAGAGTAAATATAAAATATGTTCTTGACTCCCTTAGATACTTAATAAATAATGAAACCATGCATACACGGTATCTTTGTTTATTCTTGGAAATATTTCCATGGAACAGTTTTTACGAGGAAAATGTTTCCACCATAGATTACACTGGCAATATTTGTTTGTTCGGGTGGAACTGATCAAGGTTGACACATTCACCTGTAAGGAAGCATGTTGTGAAACTGTATGTTGATGAGCACGGCATTGAAGACAAAGCGATCGGACAAGTGGTATGATAACTGACAGCCTTGTCAGTTGTCGACTTTAGTTAATTGCAATAACAGTTTGACAACACGCATCCACAATGACGATTCGATAATACATTTGTTCTATAGCGTAAGGAGTAAATAACATTTTTTACCATATTCATACAAATGAAACTTTTCATTTGTGGACGAATTCGATAAAGTTGTTTTGCTTATGAGAAATGCATGACCCACTTATTTATACCGGAAATACTCTTTCGCTTTGAAGGGCACTTCCCCAAGGAAGGATATTCCTTACAACTACTTTTCTTTCGTGGTTTATCAATGAACCCCTGTTGATGTCGTAGGTGACTTCCAAGCACTAAGGAAACCGCGTGGATTAGGTTACCATCTCACTGCCATGTGTGTCGTATCGCCACTATGGATCAACCACAGATTAAACATTGAGAAGACGACTGTTAATATCGTGTTTAGTGCAGCATAGTTTTCAATTCACTCCATGTATAAATGTTTCTATCAACCTCACGTTACGTCCTTCCGGTTACCCATTCTTCAACTTGTTGGACTGGTGAAGTGATTTTAATTGTGATATGTGGTTCAACGACTCACAAAGACGTATGTGAGAACTATTTTAATACTCAGAAGAAACACATGTTGACATACTGGGGGTAGCAGAAAAGGATTCTCGACAGTGATATCTGGTTAATATGTCACTGTTTGTAAAATAACTGCCTGTCATACCATGGTTGGTCCTCATATAGCGTTTTATCATATAATGGGTAGATTTCTCGGCAGGATAAAGCCAACAGATAAAAACTATATCCGTTGGGGTCATATGCGGATAGAGATGCAAATATCAAAGGTCAAGTAGTGTTTCAGTGTTTATAAACAAACATGGTGTCGCCCTTGTCATTCGGCAATCGAGTCAGAATTAACCATCGGGAATCTGGATAAACTACAGAGATGATTGTTATCATTATCAAACAGTCTAATATACTTAAAATAAGTGTCTAACTGTGACGTCCATGAGGCATTTTATAAGTTTTAGCAACTTTGGAGATATAAATTTCGAAAGAAGTTTGCGAGGGCACTAGGCCTAGCCAAGCGGGATCAGTAGCCACATCTGTGCTTGTAGAGACCTCTGCGGCTTGAAACCTTTTCCACAAATTAAAATAGTTGGATTTGGCCGAAATATGTTTGAATTGTTACCTTGTTTCGTTTTGTCGCTGTGTGTACATCTGATTGCAGTTCTTAACGTTTTGATCCGCCTCCGGGGTCTAGTGGTAGAGCGTCCGCCCGGAGAGCGGAAGGTCCGGGATTCGATCCCTGACCGCGTCATACCAAAAGGCGTTAAAAGATGGTATTTTTTGTTACCCTGTCTGGCGCTCGGCATTAAGGGGCTCAAACAAGGACTGGTCGGCACGGAGTCAGTATACTGTGTCTGAGTGGGGTATTCGTGTTAAACTGCGGCATGGTATCTCAGTGGGCTAGCACTATAAATCGGCATCAGTCCGGTCTAGTACAAGAAGACACACACACACACACACACACACACGTGCATGCACGTCGCTATATAAGTGCAATAATCTTGGACGCGACGTTAAACCCCATTTCACCTAACGTTTTGACAGGACAGGCCGACTTTCAACAACGTCTGAACGTGGCCATGACGTCAGTTACTCTGGCGGACAGACTGATGGATTCCCGCGAAAGACAAGTAAAAACAATTGTTGTTTTGCGTACATGTTGCTTCGCCACTGTATAAGAAACAGATTTCCCTTGAAACTATATTGGCTACTGTCACTGTCCGACTGACACATCACTTACCCTGTGACGAAATAAATATAATTGCGCGCATTCCAGAAAAACTCGCAATGTTTTGGTAATGTTTACGAGGGAGGGAAAGCGATTTTCAAGCACAGAATTGAAGGATGACATTATATGATAAAGAGGTTATCACGCTTGTGTGTTTGGGGATGGTTAATATCCTGTATTAGGAATAAACATTGTATTTAGCGAACCTTGGCGAGCTAAATACATAGTGTTTATTCCTAATACAGGATGTTTACCATCCCCAAACACACAAGCATGATAACCTCTATGTATTAAGACACACACGGCACTACCTTCGCCTGGTGAATACTGCTACTGGGATTTCTGACGAAACGGTATTCCACGTGTATGTTACGTGGCCTGAGAATATGCTCTGAGCTGAGAATTTGTTAATGGCACATTTCAAATTCAACCTATGGACAAAGTGGTAAAATTTTCTCACTGTTCACTAAAATATAACAACTGTACAAATGTAGGTGATTTTGAAACAGAACAATGAAAATAGCAGTGTAATAAAACATTTTTATATAATAAAAGACCATACGTAAGATCCCGCCACGTTAGGAGGTGTTAACTGACATTTATAGATAGCGCTTGGGATTAAGGGTCTCGCCGGGAATGGGCTTATGATTAGAGGGTATACGCAGAATGTTTGCTGGATACATTAAACAGAAAAAGTTAAATGCATTTCTCCAATCACAAAGATCAGCTTGGGGCTCAGATTGGTCATGATTAGGACATACTCACTTACATCACCACAAACTAGAAACAGGTGACTTCAGGCCTGTTAGACTCCCTTTTAAACAGGAAAACGCAGCCATTAGGAAGTAATGTTTCAGACAGGTGCAAGAAATGTTTATGGAAGCCAACATCACTTAGCCCAGTTCTTCTGAATGGCACTCTTCCGTTGTTATGGTTTAAAAACGGGATAGCTCTTACCGCTTTGCCGTACCCATAGACGCCTCAATGCAGTTACCAAGCCTACATTTGAACACCTAAGGCAGTATTCCAAAAGATCAAAGAGTCGAGACTCACTCTAAAACCAAGCGAATGTAAATTTGCGACAAAAAAAGGCACATACGTAAGGCATATCTTCAGCAAAGATGGCATCTATGTCGATCCTTCAAAAATAGATTCAGGAACACAGACCCCACCTACTAAAAACGTCCATGACATGGGTTATTCCTTAGGTTTTTCCTCGTATTATCGCAGTTTTGTAGCAGACTTTTTCTGGCATCGCCTACCCTCTATACAACCTTCTGAAACCAGACGCGTCTTTCGAATTGCCCTCACAACAGCCCCCAACCTTGCATATCCCGACCAAAACAAACCCTTCATCCTCACAACTGATGCATCTCAAACTGCGATAGGGTACATTTGGGGCCAACTTGATTCTCATGGCATAACTTGTAATGGCATTTGTTAACTCATGTCTTTTGACAATACAAGTATCTTCCTTGCCATTGACCCTGTTCTGATTTTAAAACAAACAATGTTGGTTGGTAACGTTTCTTTTGCTCGTCAGTTTAGGTTATTGCAATAAACTATTTATATTTATATATTTGTTTATGTTGTTTTTTACGAGTAAAGGTAAATGATGCTTAATGGTCATTTCACATCGCAGTCACCAACTGTTTCAGTCATATTCTGTGGGTCAATAACCTGGTCCTTATTGAGGCAGAGTTATCTTTTTTCAAGGAGATGGAGGCTTAGTTTTTTATTTACACAAACTTAAGAAAAAAAACTCCCGCAAGTCAGGTTGTCAACAAGTTGTTTGATCAATTCACGTGACTTCTGTTAATCTTCAGCGATACACGAGTTGTGTTATACGTGTGTGTGTGTGTGTGTGTGTGTGTGTGTGTGTGTGGTTGCTTTTTCTAGTCCGGACTTTTGTCGGTTTCATAGTGTTAAACCACTGAGAAACCATGCCACAGTTTAGCAGCCAGGCGATCGTACCAGGGATCTTCCGCTCTCTGGGCAGACGCTCCATCCACTTCACCAAGGAGGAGGTCATCTCTTGTTTGTTAGTGAATTGGTGAGTTTTACACCGCTTTTAGCAATATTCCAACGGGGGACACCAGAAATGGGCTTCATACATTGTACCCATGTGGGGAATCAAACACGGGCACTCGGCGTGACGAGCGAACGATACCACTAGGCTACCCCTCTTGTTTGAGAACACTGGCCCAAACGTAATAATTTAAGAACATATGGATATCATCACTAAGTGGTAAAATGAGAATCCAGCAAAATTAAACCAAATTGTGAACTAATAACTCTATAACTACTGCTAAATGAAGCAGATCTAATGGGTGTTAGGAACAAATGGACGTTCACTATATGGGATGTCAGCGCGTCATACTAGCAATAAGTAATGAATCTGAACAGAGGCAGCCTACCAACAAACAGGGACATCATTTTCAAATCGGGAAGTCTGACGGGGTTTGGGGTGGACTGGGTGGGACCTTCACCGTTGGCGTGTGAGATGTTTTTCAGTGTCCTGTCGGAAGTGAAGTCACGTCTATGTTGGCTGTTTTGTTACACGCCTGTGCCCTTAAACCTACAATGGTCTCTCCCCCTGAAGGGGCACGGGTGGCCCAGTCGTCAGAGGCGCCGCGATTAGCTGTGCAGAGTTGCTTCCCTTGGGCACGCCAGAAACCTTTGATTGTGGGTTCGAATCCCGGTTCGAGACCTGCATCACTTCGGGCTTTCTTCCAATATTAGGCAGACACGCCGTGATATAGCTGGAATAATGTGGAGTTTATGTGACCACGTCACCACACGCCAACGGTAAAGATCCCATCCTGTCCACCCCAGCCCCGGAGGATGTGTGTATGAGATATCATGCAACTGTGGACACAAGTACATCGGAGCTAGAGTCTTCACCACCAGAATAAAAAAATAGAAGAAAGATCTGACATGCTCTTTCGGAACATCTCTTAAATAATCCTGACCTCATTTCCTTGCCACAAACCAAGATATTCAATATCAATCATGTGAAAAGAGGAAACTTCAAGAAAACATCGAAATCCAAAGGAAGAAGCCAGCCAGTAACAGAGACCAGGGTATCTACCTGTACCCAGTGTGTACTCCACTGTGCTATGACCACATCATCTACCACAATGAACATCGTGATTACCTTATTCCTTGTGTCACAATAGCCAGATCCTTGTCACCACTACACCTCCAGTGTACTTAATTAATACTCTAATGTTAATCTCAATGGCTTCGTCATTATATTGTTATCTTTGTACATTTATCCCACCTTGTGTTGTGTAAATATATATATATATATATATATATATATATATATATATATATATATATATATATATATATATATATATATATATATAGTTTCTCCTGCATTTACTAAGCATTCACCTGATAAAGATACAAGAAGTAGCTCCGATCGAAACATTGTATAAAGAATATAAGAATATAAGAAGTTGCTACCATGAAAAAGTGTCATGAATTCATGTTCTCCCAACTTCCAAATGCCTATCAAAGTCTTCATACTGTGTGTGTGTGTGTGTGTGTGTGCGTGCGCGCGCGCATGTGTTGTCTTGTGTTGTGTGCCGCCATTATGTTGAATTTCCTGCATTGAACAAACCTCAGATAATGTATAAATGTGAACATGTTTCTAGAATCTATAGCTTATCTGAACTGTGCTAATAAGTTTTGACTCAACGAAATTAAAGTTAAAAAACAAAAACGCCTATTGTTTATATTTTACTGCAACCCCAAACAAACCTGTTCAAAATATCGGATCATCCCCGGAATACACATACTGGTTCTAGACTCCCTGATATAGCCTACTTGAAAAAATGAAAGCTGTCATACACGGTGTTGTCGGTTTTGTAATAAAAAAAACCCAACCCAAAACAAACAAATCTTCAAAAACGCATTTGTGTAAGAAATCTAAAAAAATAACTGATATATCTACCTTTCTATCTTTCATAACACTTGTTTAAGTTTTCATATACTTCATATCAAAATTGATCATTATCTTGAGCGCCATCGAAGTCATACAAGTTAATGGTGCTCATCTTATTTGTTTGGTTCTACCCGGGCACTGTGTCCGCATGCTTTTGTTATTTCCGGGTCACGCGGAGGTCACGAATATGCTAATGAGCATTCCGAGGTTGTCAGTTTCACGTGCGGCGACAACCAAGGGAATATGCTGATAAAAGATGGTTGTACTGCAGGTATTTGCATATACTGTTGCACAATATATTTCGAATTAACTTGCACATCGTAAAATAGTTGCTTGTAAATGTCACCAGTACGGTAACAGTAAATTTCGGCAGTTTACGTGCGCTTCTAACACTTTCGTGTACAATGAGATTATAGCTGTCAAAGCCACTACCACAAATACTTTTGAATCAGGTAATCAATTATCTCGAAGAAATACTTATACATGTCATTCGTTGATATTACAATATTCAATTTTACTGAATAGGTTTCTTTACAAAATATATATGCAGGTTTTGAACACTTGTTAGAATTTAATATTATTGAATTTGATTAGGGCTAGATCTATGGGATTGATCTAGACAAGTAAGATAGTAGTCTAAGTGGCCATTTAATACACTACTGTGATGCATGAGGTCCGGTTGAGAAGTAAGTTCACATTGGGATCTTTCTTTGTGCCTGAGACATGTTTTGCTGTTTATGATGATATGCAATGGTATGGATGACAGCTTCTTTTGGGACATGATCACAGTGTTTAAGACAGCACCTGTTTGACATTTTTCGTCTTATACTGCAGTGATGATGAATGGTGGTGCTAGCACATGCAGTTCACAAGTTTAGTTTAGATATGGAAGTCGTCATACATATCTCTGCATTTCTTACAGGATCGGAACTAAAATAATTTCTTGGGCAGTCAGGAGGACTGATTTGACAAAATGGAACTAAAATACAAACCATCTGAGTAAGTTTCAGCATTGTTAGGCCTATATGGTCACTATTCTGCCAGTTTGTACCCATTGTTAAAACTATGGTGACAATCGATGTGAGGTTTGTAACTGAACCAACTTACAGAAACAATCATTTGTAATACACTGTAATTTCTTGCTGAGAAACGACAGTATTGTCGACAGGTTGATGGGAAGGACGGGTAGCCTACTACATGGGGGGTATCCTAGGTATGTGTCGTGTATAGAGGCTGGTACCCAGCTGGTATGTGAAGGCATCCATATTTCCAATGGGGGGAGGGACTAAATGGAGTTTTTGTGAGGTTGTGTGGCTGTGTGTTTATTGACAGCTTGTTTCTTGTAGTGTTTTAGATGTGGCCGGGTAGGCCTGTTTTGATTAGATAGATGCTGAGTGCTTTATAAGTTTGTAAGTCATTTAGGGGGTTTAGTAGCGTTGCTATTGTCATTTGATTGTTGTCGTTTAGTGTGGATTGGAGTGTTGTTCTGTGTTGCTGGTAATGTGTGCAATATAGTATAACGTGTCCAGGAGTTTCTTTTTAGTTGCACTGGGGGCATTTACCGGTTTTGTGTTTTTTAATTTGGTCTAGGTGGGAGTTTAACTCAGTGTGGCCTGTTTGTAGTTTGGTTATTACTCTGTCAATTTTTTTTGTTTTATGATGGATTTTTGTTTTTTTTGACTGGCTTTTGTAGCAGGTGTTTTAGTTTGCAGTCCAATTTCTGATAGTTATTTTGTCACTTTTGGAAGATTTTCTCCTTTGTGATACTTTTAATTTCGTTTTTTGATATTGGTAGGTTCATGCTTACTTCTTCTAATTTTAGTGCTGATTTGGCTGCTTTGTCTCTGTGTTCATTGCCAAACACTCCAACATGAGCGGGCATCCAAACTATTTCTATGTCTTTACCTAGTTTACGTAGATTGTTTGAGCTTTTAAGTACCTGTAGTATTAGTTTTGGGCGTGTTTTTGTGTTTATCGCCTGGAGCCCACTTAATGAGTCTGAAAGGATTAGGGTTTTTTGGTGTCTTTTTATTTGAGCGCTGTGCAGGGCTGTTACTATCCCAATTAATTCGGCTGTGACTATTGTTTGATTATTTGGGAGCCTATAGGATTTTGTTTCTTTTTGGGGTTTGTTGATATGGATGCTGATTCCTGTGCGTTTTGAACCCGGGTCAGAGGATCCACAATATGACTGCTGACCCCTAGCCATAAATGCGACTCAATAACAATGCGACTCCCCCCACCCCATCCCCAGTGGAATGATACATATCCTTACCTTAATTCAATCAAACAGCAACTAGCACTGCCTATTAGCACTGAGTAGAGCACTTACATAAAAACAACACACAGTTTATATGTTTACTCTGAAGTTCAGATGGGGGCACGGGTGGCCCAGTCATCTAAGGCGCCGCAATTCGCTGTGCAGAGTTGCGTCCCTTGGCCACGCCAGAAACCTATGATTGTGGGTTCGAATCCCGGTTCGCCCCGATTATGTTTCTAGGTTTGTCAGCACCATACCCGTGCTCGTGGGTTTCACCGAAGACCTGCATCACTTCAGGCTTTCCTCCCACATTAAGCTGACAGGCCGCGATATAACTGGAATACTGTTAAAAGTGGCGTTAAACCCAACTCACTCACTGAAGTTCAGAGGCAATATAATAATTGAACAAACAACAGTTCACTGATTGGTATGCAGAGAAGGTGTCAACAGAATTTCATTATTGTGTCAGAATTTATGTTTTCAATGATGCATTAATGCTTAATTATCCCCCGCCACGAAGTGGAATGGGGATATAGGAATGGGTGCCGTCCGTCCGTCCGTCCTTCCGTCACATTTCGTTTCCGGAGCAGATCTTGAAAACCGTACCATATTTCTTCACCAAACTTGGCACATAGATAGATCTAGTGGTGAACTGGTTCCTTTTGATAGTTTGGGATTTAAAAAAAGTTATTTTTCGAGTTTCCATGGCAACGACTTTGATTTAGACTGAAAATGGAGGTAGTCCTCGTTTCCGGAGCAGGTCTTGAAAACCGTACCATATTTCTTCACCAAACGTGGCACATAGATAGATCTAGTGGTGAACTGGTGCCTTTTGATAGTTTGGGATTTAAAAAAAAGTTATTTTTCGAGTTTCCATGGCAACGACTTTGATTTAGACTGAAAATGGCAGTAGTCCTCGTTTCTGGAGCAGATCTTGAAAACCGTACCATATTTCTTCACCAAACTTGGCACATAGATAGATCCAGTGGTGAACTGGTGCCTTTTGATAATTTGGGATTTTTAAAAAAGTTATTTTTCCAGTTTCCATGGCACCGACTTTGATTTAGACTGAAAATGGCGGTAGTCCTCGTTTCCCGAGCAGATCTTGAAAACCGTACAATATTTCTTCACCAAACTTGGCACATAGATAGATCTAGTGGTGAACTGGTGCCTTTTGATAGTTTGGGATTTAAAAAAAAGTTTTTTTTCGAGTTTCCATGGCACTGACTTTGATTTAGACTGAAAATGGCAGTAGTCCTCGTTTCCCGAGCAGATCTTGAAAAATGTACCATATTTCTTCACCAAACTTGGCACATAGATAGATCTAGTGATAAACTGGTGCCTTTGGATAGTTTGGGATTTTAAAAAAAGTTATTTTTCGAGTTTCCATGGCAACAACTTTGATTTAGACTGAAAATGGCAGTAGTCCTCGTTTCCGGAGCAGATCTTGAAAAATGTACCATATTTCTTAACCATACTTGGCACATAGATAGGTCTAGTGGTGAACTGGTGCCTTTTGATAGTTTGGGATTTTTAAAAAAGTTATTTTTCGAGTTTCCATGGCAACAACTTTGATTTAGACTGAAAATGGCGGTAGTCCTCGTTTCTGGAGCAGATCTTGAAAACCGTACCATATTTCTTAACCATACTTGGCACATAGATAGGTCTAGTGGTGAACTGGTGCCTTTTGATAGTTTGGGTATTTAAAAAAAAAATATTTTTCGAGTTTCCATGGCAACGACTTTGATTTAGACTGAAAATGGCGGTAGTCCTCGTTTCCGGAGCAGATCTTGAAAACCGTACCATATTTCTTCACCAAACTTGGCACATAGATAGATCTAGTGGTGAACTGGTTCCTTTGATAGTTTGGCATGTTTAAAAACAATATTTTTTTAGTTTCCATGGCACTGACTTTGATTTAGACTGAAAATGGAGGTAGTCCTTGTTTCCGGAGCAGATCTTGAAAAATGTACTATATTTCTTTACAAAAAGGCCCAGTGAACATAGTTCACAGGAGCTGATGCATTGCGCACACCCGACATGTCATATTGGCGGGGGATGTGAGTATTTCATGCTTGTTGTTATTCTTTTCAGATGATATATCTGACATAGCAAACCATAGTAGCCATAGTAACCGCAAGACAGCATGGAGAAGCATTACTCAGTTAAATTCTTTTCCTCCTTCCTGGAAAGTCTGCAGAATTTGTGCCAAGAACACTTAAACTTTGACCAGATTGTGGAAGTAAGTGGCTATGTGTGTGTGGAGATTGACAATGCCAAGAAGGAACGTTATGTTCTCAGTGAACTGCTGCAGCAATGTGGTAATGTCATTAGCGAGAGCTACTGTACAAAAGCTTACAAGAACTTGCCCATATCTGTGAGAGGAAAGGAAAAGGTCAGCTCTTCTGAAAAAACTAAGTCAGATATAATAGAGGATAAGGAGAACAGGACACAATGTCAACCAATGAGAGACTCGGACGACGAAGTTATTATAGCGCTAGATACCCCACCCCAGCCAAAAAGAAGGAAGTCAAATTCAACCACTGTACCAAAATCAGCCAAAACCTCTATTGCAGTTACTAATACTGGAAAAAGTCCAGCTAAAAGTATCAATAAAAAAATAGAAGATTCAGCCAATAGGTGCATTCTTGGAAGGGTTGCAACGATGACAGAAGACTATACACAAAGAGACTCTGGTGGTATAGGAATTGAGTCCAGAAGTAGCTCATTCCTTGAGTCGGCAGCCAAGTTACATTCATCCAGCACACCACATTCTCCAGACAAGGAGTCCTTTCATGACTTCGTCAGCAGTGTAGTGGAGTCACTTGGTACACCCACCAAGAGTCCGCCATCTGGTAGTTCAAATGAGAACAGCTATGGCGGGGAAGACAGCGAGGACACATTTCCGGATCTTTCTCTTGTCCCAAAGAAAATCTCAAGATCTGCCTCATCGAAGTCTTCTTCTGTGACAGGTCAGCCTGTTGTAGATATTCAGTCAAGTCTTGCCTCAACTTTGTCTCCATCAACTCCGGAGCCATCTTTGTCTCTAACAGGCCTCTACATGAAGTCAAAGACATTGGGCCTGTCTTCTAAGAAATCACCAAAGACATCATCAGATTCTTCTTCTCCACCATCCTTGGAACAGCCAGAGAGGATGAACGTCTCCAGCCTGCGTCATCTTGTTTCCAAGTCAAATGAAGACCAGGCCCTACTGCAGCACCGCAGGGCGGGGACGGAGATGGACATCCCTCCTGGGCAGCCCTACATAGAGCTGCTGGATGAAGCCAAGGAGGAGGAGGATGGAGATGGAGGAACAGCTGGCCTACAGATTCACACGAACGACCATGGCAACACAGGAATCCAACACTCCACCAGCACAGACCACAGTGAACCCTCCACCTCCTACTCAGGTGAGGTCTTGCAATGGTCAGTCTGGCAGTCAGTCTGGACAAAACATATGTTTCTTTTACCGATCAGCCTGTCTCATGTTTTACAAAGTAAAATGAAATATTAACAGTATTGTGTTTCATTGAAAATATCTTTATTTTGAGCAATGTTCTGTTTGTATTTTTGTCAGAACTCTGATTTCCAGAGTTATATTTTAGGAAGTTAACCTTATTCAACACTGTAAACATTTCTTTTGCTGCATGCACCTTAACAGCAGTTCCATGAAACATTTGATATTTTTTATATATGTAACATGCTCGGTATAGATGGTTAAAAAATATTAACTGTCTTCATAGTGAATAGATTATTGATAATCTTGGAAAAAACAGTTTCTATGTAAGTAGTGGTGGTACTTATAGTATCAGATTAGAGTCTGTGCAGGAGTAGTAGTTTTTAGCGTTATTTGTTTCAGGTGTTGAAGTACCCTGCACAGTTTCCTCCTCCCTGATGCTGGAGGTCGGCAGCATCTCCGCAGTGACGTCAATAGACGATGTGGACTCTGCTAATTCCCAAGTCTCGGATGACACCAACAATCAGGAGGACAACATTGATGATAACATGGACAGTCCGATCATCATCGACCTTGATTCTGAGGACGAAGACGAAGAGGACTTTGTGCCTGGCGGGGATGCTGACCCTTTCTCAAGCACAGAGATAAGGAAGCTGGACTCATTCAAAGATTATGTCAGATTTGCAGTAAAACGATTTCAGAGTTTCATCAAGGAGAAGGGTGTTAATGATCCAATGTTTAGGATTCCTCCTGACAAGTTAGATCCACTCCTGGCTGAATTTTATGTTACTGTTCGTAATCTTCGTGGACAAGAGTTTGGTGTAAGTACACTGAAAAGTATCCAGTCATATCTAGAATTGTATTTGAGGGAAAATGGCTATCCTGTGTCCATCACAAGGGATACAGAGTTCCTAAACTGTCGTTCGCTGCTGCAGACCAAAATTCAACAACTTCGTCAGCTTCAACAGCCTGACCCTGACCCTGCACTGACCATAAGCCCACTGACGAGACGAGATGTTGATAAGTTGTTCCGGACAGGGCAGTTAGGCGGTAGTTCGGCTGAGTCACTGAGCAACTCGGTGTGGTTCATGAACTCTGTGATGTTCAAACTGAACCAGACCAGCTCTCATACCTCCCTCAAGTGGGGAGACATTGTTATAAAAGTGGATGAATATAAGAACGAATATTTACAACTGGTGTCTTCCAATAGCTCCAGTTGGGAAAATGTGAATGACAAAGTGTATCCCAATAATGCGAATCCAGATCGTTGCTTTGTTTCGATGTTTATGAAGTACCAAAGAATGCGACCACCGTCTATGCTGGCAAAGAAATCCCCATTCTATTTGATGGTGGACAGAGAAATGGACTGCTTAAAGAAAGAAAAGATGAGTTTCCAGATGTTGAGCAGTATCCTGAGAACCATGCTCATTCAGGCTTTCATAAAGTCCGACAAGAAGATACTGACCTATGACATCCTGTGATGAAAATATGTCCGAGTTGGTTTATCTTATGATAAAATGGTCATCCGATAGGAAATGGCAATCTCATCTAAATTGGCATCTAATTGTTAATAATATCAACACATCATCCATCCTTCAGTACGATATATGTATATTCATTGAGTCTGAACAGTTACCATGGCAACAATGATTTCATTTTTGTACTTAAACTAAATGTTGTACTTGATCACCTACAAAAAGTGCAATGGCCACTGCCACTGGTGAAATGGGAAGAATGGTTGTATGGTGTAGCAGAGGCCATGCTTCATTATAAACTGCCCCGGGATGCAATGTTCCAAATATGTTGGCTCGTGGCAGGTAGATATCATATAGGGCCCATTGTATCCTTTTTGTAGTGCTCCTAATAGCCTGCAGTAAATGTATGTTTCAATTTATGTGTCACAATAAGCTGCATTTTTGTAAGTGAAGGCCTGAATTGTTTAGTGAGGACCTGCAGTTTGTGTGGGTCTGTGGGTCCTGATGGCATGAGCTCCCTCTGACACCCGAGTGGAAGGTTGTCATGGGTGCGGTGTTATTATCAACAGATTGTAACTCTTCCAATACTAAAGTTGTGGAGAAACTTGACATCCAGCATCCATTCTAATGGATGTACATGTATCTTCTCAATTAGTGGCAAACACTCATGGGCTATCTGTATTATTTTTGTGTTTCCCATTTTTTCTTCAGAGTGAGAGGTTGGTAGGAAGAAAAACCAAAAACAGAGAAAAAGACCTGCCTTTGGTTTACAATACAATTGATGTATTGCCTATTTTGTAAGAAATGTGAGAAATAGTATCCCAATTTGAAGTATTGACCACAAGAGATACAACTGGCTGTGAAGTTTGAATATTTTCTAAATGCACATGTACTCACTAACTCACAGCACCAGTTTTGGGGTACCACTATTTATGTGTTGTGTAATGGTTTCCGCACAGTGTTGACAGCTGAAAGGAACAGAGTATAGGCAGAGTTACTTCCCTTCTTTATTTTTCCTTCCGACATCAACAATATTACAGATGGCCTTAGTTTGAATACCACATTCAACCCAATAACAATCCCATACAATTAGGTTAGTTACAAGTCAAATCAGGCATTAATATGGATACCACTGGTGAGGTTAGTTACAAAACAAATCAGGCATTAATATGGATACCACTGGCAAGGTTAGTTACAAGTCAAATCAGGCATTAATATGGATACCACTGGTGAGGTTAGTTACAAGTCAAATCAGGCATTAATATGGATACCACTGGTGAGGTTAGTTACAAAACAAATCAGGCATTAATATGGATACCACTGGCAAGGTTAGTTACAAGTCAAATCAGGCATTAATATGGATACCACTGGTGAGGTTAGTTACAAGTCAAATCAGGCATTAATATGGATACCACTGGCGAGGTTAGTTACAAAACAAATCAGGCATTAATATGGATACCACTGGCGAGGTTAGTTCTGATATTGTTACCATCAGTTCTTTGTCTATGCATTCTTTCCATTCTTTTGTTTTAAGTGCAGCAATAGCATATTTTGGCAGTATGTATGTATGTAAAATGACCTTGGCCAGACCACGTGTACAGTATTGTGTACAGGTCAGACTACATGTTGTACATCCATCCTCACTGATTGATTGATCCAGGCATTTGAATATGTTAAAGGAAACAGTAAATAAATCCTACTTTTCATAGTTATTTAATAAGATAAGAGTTAAACGTAGAACATTCATTTTTATAATGTTTTCAGTTACTCCCTATCTCAGGTGTTAATGTCCAGGAGAGACCGCCTCTGTGGTCTAGTTGTAGAGCGTCCGCCCCAAGAGAAGAAGGTCCGAGGTTTGATTCCTGGCTGCGTCATACCAAAAGACTCGTCATTAAGGGGCTAAAACAAGGATTGATCAGCTCGGACTCAGTATACTGTTTCTGAGTGGGGTACTCATCTTAAACTGCGGCATGGTATCCCAGTGTGCTACCAATAAAAATCATCATCACTCCAGACTAGTACAAGCAGACGTTAAACCCCATTGCACCTCACCTAATGTCCTGGATGCTTTGTAACACTACACAGAATGCAGAATGGTTTAGTTCCTGGTTGTGGCGGACCAGAGAAGTCTTAAAATCATTAAATTTGGGCAAATTAATTTTATTGTGGGCAAGTGAAGAGTCAATATATACTTGCACTGTGTAAAATATGTTTTGGGGCAATTGTTTAACTCTATCGAGCCAGGGTGGGGTGCCTGTCACTACACTTGAGATTGGGATTTCTTATACAGAGAAGGGGGCTTATTAGGTAGAATACAGTATGATGATGTTTACACATTGTTTAATATATATCTCGTAATATATATGTCTGCATGGAGGCTGATCGTGCAGTGAAAGAACGTGTCCAGATGATCCACATTGTTACCCTCACATCATTATGTGTAATGTGTCATGCCCAGTGACTTTCATCATTGTTACCTTGGGGTGGGAAACAGCACAGCCAGTCTCTGTGTGGGCTTTATGCCTAGTTGCATTTATCTTATAGTACCAATGATTTTCTTCTGAAACACCAACACATGGGGAAACCCCTGTCACAACATTCTGGGAACGTCAATCAAACACACTTTACATCAAGTTATGGAACTTAAAAGTTGTTCCTAATAGGTGACCTCATTTGCATATTTACCGGATCATGATATCAAGTTTTGATATCGGTTAATTAAGTCGATATTACTATCCATTATAGGACAGAAATAGGATTCTGGTGACAACAGAGGGCATGTTGTTGCCCTGTACGTTTCAAGTAAGTATTCATGTGGACAGTACTTGTTAATGTTGTGTCAATTATATATGAGAGTGTGATTGAAGTTGTCATAGCATAAGCTGATGGCTTTTTTATCTGAAGGTACAATACCTCATATGGACTATCATAACTTTGTAGTGAGCTTTGAAATCAAAATCTCTATCTTATTTATTTCAACTAAAAATCTGGTTTGTACTTTTTACTGTAAGATTTTTTTTGTTCCCTTGATGTTTTCGTGGTTTCTCAGTGTAATGATGTTTTTTAAGTCAACACAATATGCCAAGTATCTTCACAGAATCTTCCATTAAAAAGTGTTTTTTCCTGAATTTGTTTCTGTATTTTTACAAAAAATTCAAGTATACAGATTGTTTCATATATGAATTAAATCTACTGGGTAATAACTTTTTAATATATTACCATAATGTAATCTTTGTTTTGATTGGTCAGTTGAACATTCTTATTGTTCATGATGTCATATTGCTGCTGTGTGTAGAACAATGTGGAACTAGAAACTTATGGTAATAGCTTATCTGTCTCTCTTGAGGGAATGTTGAACAGAATCTCGCCAAATGCTTGTGAAATACTTCCCTTAATTTATGGCTGAGAACTAACACCATTCAAAAAGGAGCATGGGGGCCAGCAGTCATCTTAGGTGCAACAATTCACTGTGCAGAGTTGCTTCCCTTGGGCATGCCTGAAACCTATGATCCTGTGTTCAAATCCTGTGTCTTGGTTTGTCACCACCATACCAATGCTCGTGGGTTTCACCAAAGTGATAAACGTCTCAGACCTGCATCACTTTTTGGGCTTTTCTCACACATTAAGCTGATGCAGTGATATAACTGGAATACTGTTTAAGGCGGCATTAAACTCACTCACTCACTGTCTCACTCATTCAACAACCAGGAAAGTTAATCCATAATCCCTTTAATCAGGTATGTGTATATGTGGTGACACCCAATTTTGTGGTTGTGAAGAACTAGGCTGAGTATTGGTGCAGCTGTTGAAAGACATGGAGCCAGTTCTAAACTACTTTCTGACATTCACAGATCTCCATAGACTGCTATCTAGTGGCTCTTTTAGACTGGTTTATCGATTGTGAACTTCAAGATGAATCTGTCATTGCGTCATATCAGAAATAAATGTTTGCGTAAAGCTGAATCATTTACATCACTGACAGCTATATAAACAGATGCATTTTGAGAAAATTTACAATTGTTTGAAGTGATTTCATGTGATTTATATCGAACATGGAATATTTAATCTATTTTAGATAACTTTTAACACGAAGAAAGTTTTTTTGTTTTTTAAATATGTTTCTACGTGTCTTTAGTGCTGGCTTCATTTTGAATGAACTTGTAAACTGTAATTACAGTTTTCAATGTTTGAAGTAAATGTTTATTTATAATACTCAAAACATTGTCTTGTCATAACCAGTATGCTTGGTGGGTTTGTGTGCTAATATGAACAGTTTATTGTTCATGACGCTCGTCTTCCTGTGATTCTCTTGTTTTGACATACATGTATGTCTGAATATAATAAATAATTAAAGAAACCAAAGAAAGAATGATTGCCATAGATTTTTTCATTTATTTGTTATTAATATTTGATAGAGATGAATGCATGATAATTGTTTTGTGAGCTTATTGTCCGACTTGAACTGTAGAATTGTTTATTCAAATAATAAAATTTGAAATGAATCCATGCTTTGTTAATATATCAATTTTATTGTCCTTGCCAAGTCATTTAATTAATTTTGCTCTAACGTATCCCAGTTGTGTGGAACTAATCAAGTCTTCAGTACAAACCATTGACTGATATTGTGAGCAACGTCTCACGCTGGATTAAGATGCCACCCAACTAACAAGCTCAACAACCCTGATCAATTTAGCCCCTAGCGACAAGCATACCTTATTTGGAACCAATCGTAATCTGGAATCACCCCACAGGCTTTATTAGTATTTATATGTCATTATCATTTATATACTCACCGCCAAGAGAACCAGAGAAACAGAGAAGTACATACATTAAGAAGACATGTTTCCAATGTGTACCACTTAAAGGACAATCAGTCAAGTGTTACCACAGAGTGTCTTTAATCTTATCACAATATGCTGCACATGATGTCAAAACTTGACACACTAATCCTGCACGAGACAAATGGCGCATCTCAAGTCATGGGTCTATGATGTCACATGTGATGCGTTCATGAGCATGGGTTCACACAAGACACGAATTTGTTGGTTTGTGCATCAAACCAATCTAATATCTCTCAAATATGAGTAATTCTTCGTACATAAACCAACATTTATGGTATTCGCATTTCTTTTGTCGGTGAACACATATGTGAGGTGGATGTAAAAACCCTCTAACGCCCATAGGCAGCATGGGTTGTATACTCCCCAGGGAGATGAGAATGATAACGAATGCAAACGGATTCACTGGTCGGGTAAAAAATAAAACCCTGCATTTGAGCAGAAATAAGTACCTGGATACCTGATTTAATAATAATAATAATCATAATAATCATAATAATAATAATACTAAATACATGTACGTAAAACATATGCTGACACTCTGAAAGGTCTCTGATGTATTAAATCACCTTTCACCTCATCTTGACACCATCATTTGTAACTGATAGACAAGGCTAAATAATGTGCCCTCACAGCTACGGTATGTAATTGAACTACTACACAGTACACTTGGTTGCTCAAAGCCTTCTATCCTTTGTTCTAAATGTGTTTTGGCCCCCTTATTTAGTACAAATAACCTTGGGACCCTGAAGATGGAAGGTTAACACAACAATAACTCCGCAATAACAATATAATGAACACCAAACAGCTAATATCATTCTTTTGTTGTTCCTGGTAAAACTAAGACAAATACAATCCATTTTCTTTCAGACCCAGCCTCATCTCTTTATGTTTTGTCCAAAATGCAAACTCTTGACAGGATCGCAAAACCCATATACATATATACTTGTCCCTTAGAGGGTATTGTACAGGATGGCATTACAGACACAGCCACCCATTGCTGAAGGCTGCGTGTCCAGATTACGCTGTCATCTTGGCTGCCTGCAATAAAACATGCATGTGATGTACAATGTTTATATTAGAAACATTACCCTTTAACCCTTTAGATTGGTTGAAAACCTGTACACTTGGCTATACTTCAAACTAAGACCTTTCCAGATACCCAGTCATAAATGCCCAATACACTAACAGTTATGCAATGTATACAGTAAACTACGTTTATAATGAACACGATTATAATGAATTGGCGGATATAATGAACTGTGTTTTGGTCCTGTCTGTATGCTGTATATGTGCTTATAATGAACTATGGTTATAATAAATCAAATTTAGTGTTATAACCGTAGATTACTGTATGTTGAAAATATTAACATTCTCTACACAAACGTAAGCTATCACTTTAAACATTAATATTCCATATTCATGTGTCTCACACTCATGTAACATATCCACATGTATAGCACCACATAGACCACACTGTTGAACCAGTCACTTATCCACAAGTATTGCACCACACAGACAACACTGTTGAACTGGTCACTTACCCACAAGTATTGTACCACACAGACCACACTGTTGAACCAGTCACTTACCCACAAGTATTGCACCACACAGACCACACTGTTGAACCAGTCACTTATCCACAAGTATTGCACCACCCTTACCACACTGTTGAACCAGTCACTTATCCACAAGTATTGCACCATTCAGACAACACTGTTGAACAGGTCACTTACCCACAAGTATTGCACCACACAGACCACACTGTTGAACAGGTCACCCACAAGTATTGCACCACACAGACCACACTGTTGAACAGGTCACCCACAAGTATTGCACCACACAGACCACACTGTTGAACCAGTCACTTATCCACAAGTATTGCACCACACAGACAACACTGTTGAACCAGTCACTTATCCACAAGTATAGCACCACCCTGACCAAACTGTTAAACCAGTCACTTATCCAAAAGTATTGCACCACACAGACAACACTATTGAACCAGTCACTTATCCACAAGTATAGCACCACGAAGACCACACTGTTAAACCAGTCACTTATCCACAAGTATTGCACCACAAAGACCACACTGTTGAACCAGTCACTTACCCACAAGTATTGCACCACACAGACAACAGACCACACTGTTGAACCAGTCACTTACCCACAAGTATTGCACCACACAGACCACACTGTTGAACCAGTCACTTACCCACAAGTATTGCACCACACAGACAACAGACCACACTGTTGAACCAGTCACTTACCCACAAGTATTGCACCACCCTGACCACACTGTTGAACCAGTCACTTATCCACAAGTATTGCACCACACAGACAACACTGTTGAACCAGTCACTTATCCACAAGTATTGCACCACACAGACCACACTGTTGAACCAGTCACTTATCCACAAGTATTGCACCACACAGACAACACTGTTGAACCAGTCACTTATCCACAAGTATTGCACCACACAGACAACACTGTTGAACCAGTCACTTATCCACAAGTATAACACCACCCTTACCACACTGTTCAACCAGTCACTTACCCACAAGTATTGCACCACACAGACAACAGACCACACTGTTGAACCAGTCACTTACCCACAAGTATTGCACCACACAGACCACACTGTTCAACCGGTTACTTACCCACGTGTATAAGCCAACTAGTCACTTACCCACGTGTATAGCCAACTGGTCACTTACCCACGTGTATAGTCAACTGGTCACTTACCCACGTGTATAGTCAACTGGTCACTTAACCACGTGTATAGCCAACTAGTCACTTACCCACGTGTATAGCCGACTGGTCACTTACCCATGTGTATAGCCGACTGGTCACTTACCCACGTGTATAGCCGACTGGTCACTTACCCACGTGTATAGCCGACTGGTCACTTACCCACGTGTATAGCCGACTGGTCACTTACCCACGTGTATAGCCAACTGGTCACTTACCCACGTGTATAGCCGACTGGTCACTTACCCACGTGTACAGCCGACTGGTCACTTACTCACGTGTACAGCCGACTGGTCACTTACCCACGTGTATAGCCGACTGGTCACTTACCCACGTGTATAGCCGACTGGTCACTTACCCACGTGTATAGCCGACTGGTCACTTACCCACGTGTATAGTCGACTGGTCACTTACCCACGTGTATAGCCAACTAGTCACTTACCCACGTGTATAGCCGACTGGTCACTTACCCACGTGTATAGCCGACTGGTCACTTACCCACGTGTATAGCCGACTGGTCACTTACCCACGTGTATAGCCGACTGGTCACTTACCCACGTGTATAGCCGACTGGTCACTTACCCACGTGTATAGCCGACTGGTCACTTACCCACGTGTATAGTCAACTGGTCACTTACCCACGTGTATAGCCAACTAGTCTCTTACCCACGTGTATAGCCGACTGGTCACTTACCCATGTGTATAGCCAAATGGTCACTTACCCACGTGTATAGCCGACTGGTCACTTACCCACGTGTATAGCCGACTGGTCACTTACCCACATGTATAGCCGACTGGTCACTTACCCACGTGTATAGCCGACTGGTCACTTACCCACGTGTATAGCCAACTAGTCACTTACCCACGTGTATAGCCGACTGGTCACTTACCCACGTGTATAGCCGACTGGTCACTTACTCACGTGTATAGCCGACTAGTCACTTACCCACGTGTATAGCCGACTGGTCACTTACCCACGTATTAGCCGACTGGTCACTTACCCACGTGTATAGTCAACTGGTCACTTACCCACGTGTATAGCCAACTAGTCACTTACTCACGTGTATAGCCGACTGGTCACTTACCAACGTGTATAGCCGACTGGTCACTTACCCACGTGTATAGCCGACTGGTCACTTACCCACGTGTATAGCCGACTGGTCACTTACCCACGTGTATAGTCAACTGGTCACTTACCCACGTGTATAGCCGACTGGTCACTTACCCACGTGTATAGCCGACTGGTCACTTACCCACGTGTATAGTCAACTGGTCACTTACCCACGTGTATAGCCGACTGGTCACTTACCCACGTGTATAGTCAACTGGTCACTTACCCACGTGTATAGCCAACTGGTCACTTACCCACGTGTATAGCCGACTGGTCACTTACCCACGTGTATAGCCGACTGGTCACTTACCCACGTGTATAGCCGACTGATCACTTACCAACGTGTATAGCCGACTGGTCACTTACCCACGTGTATAGCCGACTGGTCACTTACCCATGTGTATAGCCGACTGGTCACTTACCCACGTGTATAGCCGACTGGTCACTTACCCACATGTATAGCCGACTGGTCACTTACCCACGTGTATAGCCAACTAGTCACTTACCCACGTGTATAGCCAACTAGTCACTTACCCATGTGTATAGCCGACTGGTCACTTACCCATGTGTATAGTCAACTAGTCACTTACCCACGTGTATAGTCAACTAGTCACTTACCCATGTGTATAGTCAACTAGTCACTT